GGAGAGATTTCTTAGTTGGGCAGGTAATTCCAAATCTTCTTACCTGGCGTGTAACTCTAGCTATTGTGGGGAGTGGCGGAATTGCTAAGGGTAGCCGAAAGTCGTTCTTGTCGAAAGGGTTTCTGCTAAAGGGTGCTGAAACCAGCTTTGGTTCATGTGGGCCAGGAAAGTAGCAGGGTTTCTGATGCCCTCGGATTCTAGATCAGACTTGACAGCCTTGCCGGCCAAGGAAAGGCTTTTGAGGAAAGTGAGCGCCAGTGGGCCGAGGAGGAGGTGGAACCTAGGGCCTTGTGCCGGCAGAGGGGAGGGGGAGGCTTGGGGTCTAATTTAGCGATGTTGCTTGTCGCAGTTTACAGCTCCTTGCCACGGTTTCCGAAAACTTCGAAAATTGGAGGGGTGGACAGCGAGACAGACATTGCAAAGATGCAGTGGCTAGTGACAGCAAGTGAATGGACGTATGCAGGCATACATGCAGGCTAGTTGAGTAGTGGGTGTCGCCACAATGAACAGACAAGTGATGGAAAAACAGGTTGGTATCCAATACTCACAGGTGCAACTAGAAAGTCTAAACCCTCAACCCAACATGGGCACCCGTAGCTCCTGAGCCCTTGAAACCCTATTAAGGAATCCTGCTGCAATTGAGCAATAGTTGAAAGCTTCAGAAAGTAAGGCCGACTGATTTAGAGCACCACTTCGGATGATACTTTTTTGGGGTTCCTTCAGCAGAAACGCTTAGTTCTCTGAAACCCCAATATTTCTGTACTCGGTTCAGCTTTGTCTTCTTCAGGCTAAGAAGAAGAAAGCCCAGAAGGTTGCCGAGAAGAAGACCCGTGTGAAGGAAGCCGGGTCTTTGGGAGTTTAAGTATGTAATATTACGCTCAGGATGTTATGGTTCATCTTACTTGTGTTGTGTTACAGTATAGTATAGTTTATCGCGGTATGATGTACCATGCATATTATGCTATATTACAGCCATATCATCATATTAAGTTGTGTTGAGTTATGCCATATTGTACAGCACCATACATCTTTTATTATTTTATGTTACATTACATTACATAGGGTATATGATATTATGCAGTATGATGTCATATTACATTAGGACTCATACCTGTAGGTAATCTGAACTTCTGTCCTAAGCCATGACATTATGTTTCATACTGCGATATGAGATTATATTTCAGTACATATATTATGTCATATTAAGTTGTAGTGTCATATATTATGCTGTTTCGCAGCATATTTTCTGTTTTTACACTTTTTGTATGTTATATTTTTGTATTTTGCTTTTTGAAGAGACAGCATAAAAAAATCACATGTTTATTGCACCAGGTTGCATTGTATTACATTGTGTTAATTTGTCATGTTATTCTATATTGTTTTGCTTGAATTTGTTGTGTTATGTTTTGCTATAGAATACTGTATGATACTATAAACTATATCATTCTTTCAGGGACTGGTTTAGGGTTTTAAGGTTCAGGGTGCTCCAGCAAAAAGCAAAAGGATTTCACCCAGTCAGTAATGTATATAGAAGTATTCTGACATTTATTTTAAGGACTATGGTAAGGACCCTAGCCCTAGCAAGAACCAGGAATGCCTTAACCAGGCTCCTACACACAAATAACTCATGCTTGGCGAAGCCTAAAACCTAAAAACACAACCCACAACGCCTAGGACGTCTTACTTAGAACCCTACATGACAGCCGCAACCAACCAAGCTGAGCCCAAAATGTCGTCCGACTCCCCAGAAAAGCCCCAAACGGTTGTTTTGCATCGTACCAAGCGTAGGACTCTATATAACCGTGTACAGTCATCATGTTGGTGCTTACCGCGACTTATGTTCAAGCCCTCTGCATGAGAAAGTAGCTCATACTTGCTGCACATGGCTTGACGGAGTACCCTGTGCATTCTATACAAACCTTTATACCCAAATGCTTCAGAAAACCCCTGCTAACACCCCGAAAGACTGAAGCCGCAGCCCAAAAGCTAATCTCCTCTCTACAACCCTAAACTCCTCATTTCTTTCTGCATCGTCACAGACCCCGGGGTGTAACGCAAGACCCGAGAACCTCCTGCACCCCCAGGATCCGGAAGAGGAAGAGGATGATTATGACGATGAGGACATGCTTGACGCAGCATTCATTCCAGCAGCAGAGAGAAGATAGGTAGGCATAGTTCGTAAATTATTGTGGTAAACTTATGTTATCTTTCGTATCAGCATTTCGATGCATATATGTGAACATATGACCAGCATGATGATGCTTAGAGCTCCTCGAGGTTTGATTTTGCTGGCGTCGGTGCATTGTGCCAAAGCCTCACTTGCTTGGTTCACAGCAACTTGTTCTATGCTGGTAACTCTTCTCCCTGCATCCCGGGAGCAACGGCAAGACAATGCGAACCGGAGTCAGAGCGACAGAGAGAGAGAGAGAGAGAGAGAGAGAGAGAGAGAGAGAGGGGGGGACACAGTCGGAGGCACAGGACGGAGCGACTTTAGGTTGTCTCACGCCCCTTGAAGGACCTGTGAGAGGGCCTGGAGCCTGGGAGGCTTGACCGTCCCTTATGCCTGGCAAAGAGAGCCAGCGAGAGAGAGAGAGAGAGAGAGAGAGAGAGAGAGGCCTAAACGAGGAAATACTCGTATCTCACTCACCAAAAACCGTGCAAAACGTTCGGGTGGGCTTGAAGCCGGGGGATCTGACTGTCCCCACGCTCGGGAGAGAGAGCGGGTTTTAAAAGACTAGACGATGAATTAGGACTAGCACGAGACGAAACAGAGGCGCGGCAGATAGCACCTGCCATGTTATTCTAGCTGTTCCGGTACCGCTCAGACACACATGAGCCGGAGGAAGAAGAAGATGACGAGGAGGAGGAGGACGACGATGAGGAAGAAGAGGAGGCAGTGGCGCAAGACAAGGACTGCAAGCCTCGCATCTGGCAGTGTGAAGCCTATAGTCCTAGAGTCTGGCATGCAGAGAGTTTGCTTCAGGGGACATAAACTAAAGCTCAGCTGAACAAACGACCTGCAGACAGCTGACGACCAGGGGGTGACCACGCAGCAAACTAGGGCTAAGTAGGGTTTCGTCTCTTCTTGGACTCGAAGGAAGGGAGGAAGGCAGGAAGTATGGAACCAGGGAAGGAGGAGACGAAGCAGGAAACTGCACGGCCACAGTCTAAGAGACTAGCAGAGACGAACAGGATGCTTTGGAGAAGTGCACCGTCTTTGAGCTAAAAGAAATGCTGCATCTCGGCAGCACACGACTTCAGGGATCATGACGTAATTGTATTCAGGACCCAAGAGGACCATTTTGTGGAGCCGCCCCCTCCGAACTCATCTGCCTCGTGCTGACTGTTCAGACGATCAGGATCTGAGTAAATAGGCAGTCAGTAAGCCTATTACAGCCCAAGCAGGCCAGTCATAACCCTGTAGCCATACGTATTGGAACGCTATGAGACTTTCAGCGGTCCTGTGCTTGCTTTTCCAGGCGCAAGAAAGACCTTCCGGTTTCCGGACGGAAGGCAGAATTGATCGAACGATTACTGGGCAGCAGCTGACCGGCTAGCATTTCGTCAGTGAGCAAAGCTGTCGTGATGTGAACTATCTGTCCTGGCAGAACAGCAAGCCCAGCAAACATTGATGCTGCATCGCTGCAGCATGTCACGATCCACACAGTTACGTTCTTGCCCAGCGAAATGTTGCAACTACCTGGCCTCGGTAGAAGGGACTGCACTTCAGCCGTCTACGGCCAGTGTCATCGGCCGAGTGCAGGAACAGAGTCTGTACAGCACGTGTTTAGTCAAGCCGACATGGCGCCGTGATGTGCATGCAGACTCTGACTCTACACAAGCAGCTCGGATGACCGAGATGTTCTGCTGGCGCGGCAGAAAAGAAGGTCCAGCTCCTCTGATCGCCGCCGCTGACAAGTTCACACTTCTTGCCAAATGCATGGGGATGTTCTCCGAGGGGCTCCAAAACGACTTATGTCTCTCGGGGGCGGGTATTGCAGGCTGGGTCTGACTTTTCTGATATTTGGGCTGTTGGTGGGGCGGAGTGTGCAGTTTTGCGTCATCACAGGCACATCAGCAACTATAGGGGTATCTGGTTTGGGGTATGTCGTGTTTCTTCTGAATGCATAGACCATACAGGCATGCCATCACCTGTTCCCTTCACGGAAGAGTGTAGCAGCTGCACCACATTGGAGTTTCAGATTAGAAGGGACCCAAGCAAATACGGTCCTGAAGAACAACTGGACAGGCCACCCTTCAGTTTAGTGAACCCCCACCTGTATGCCAGGCAGATCGTGCTGGTCCTCCGCGGCTGTCCCCTGGAGAGCTCACGGCTCGGATGTGTCAGGTAAGTCAGGTATCACTCCGTGAGACAACCTCAACTAGTATAGCGGCCAGTGAAAAATTAGCTGGGAGAGCAATGACAGCAAAGACGGGAGACAAGGGTATCGAGGGGCTCAGGAAGTCTTTCTAGCAGGCATATCGGCAAGTTCGTGCTTTTTCCCAAGTCTACGCAGTGCTGTGAGCAGACTGATGCCGTGGTGTTTCGAAAACCTTGCAACATAGGGGGTAAATCAATGCCAATGACTGCCAATGTTATCTTTAAGGCTCCTCATATACCCGTACCCCCAAAACCTATCCCCATTCTTCAAGGAGAGGTACTTGACTAGCGTAGATTGAAAGATCTGGAAAGTTGTTTAAGGAGGGTTCCCCACACAGCCATGTCTGATGCCAGAAACGCTTGAAACAGTCGAAGGATGCGTCACTCTTGTCTATCCGCAAGACGGGGACCATGGTTTTCAGTTACACTTCCACGGCCTTCATGACTATTGCGATAACGGGTAGGTTTACAAAAGTTTGACTGTCTCTGTGTGTGTGTGTGTGAATATGTCTGTTTGTCTGTCTGTCTGTCTGTCTGTATGTATGTATGTATGTATGTAGCTGTATATGTAAGTATATACACGCGGATGTGGTCGCGGTCTGAGAACTTGGCACTGAAGGTGTGAGCATTTGGACGAATCGCTCAGAGCTCAGACTGGTTGAGGGTTCGGTTTGACTCGTTTGAACAGTTGCAGTTGATCAGCGCCTTTCAACTTCTTGCCCACCATTAGTTGACATTTGTGCTTGCAGCGCCCTTTCGGACGCATTCTGACATAAAGCCTGCCACAGACCCAAAATGACCCACGTTGTTCCTTTAGCCACCGCTGGTCTTGCCGCACAGGCAGCTACTTGCAGCCACTTCTGTCCTTGCAGTAGACAATGGAATTGTGGTCTTCACTTGTTCAGTATTGTTATTATATTATGTTGGCCCTGGCTTTTGCTTGCTTTCGAGGTTACGATCTGCCCAGCAAGCCACGGCAGACATGCAGGCGGCGTTGGCAGAGAGCCCAATACCAACTCAAATGGTGGTCAAGATGCAGGGTCCCTCTAAGCTAGACTTTGCTGCTTGATTTAAGTGCCTTGGACTTTGGGTTGAACACCCAGCGGAGAGCAGGGCGTGACACTTCCGTTGTCGGCAGGGGGCGCTAGATGCCTTCCGCAAGGACGGGCGACGGCAGTTCGGGTTTGGGCCAATGTTTTCCAGAGCACCTCCTGGTTGTGCAGCTGAGTCGACGTGATTCTTGGCCCTACACCTTGGACCCTCAACCGTAAGTGACCCACTGGACCGACTTACACAGGACCGGCGACTTCAGGGACCCATGGAGGCACCGGGACGTGAGACAGAGGGACGGTAGTGTCTTGAAGCCATTAGAGGATGTAGTAAGGCTTACTGAGCCCCCTGATCTGGTTCCTTACAAGCCCTTGTCTGCTACAGAAGCTATACATCCGCTTGAAGCCTCTTAGGAATCGTACCCATAAATGCCCTCCACGGTTTATGCGTTTAGGTTTGATACCACCAGGTCTGATGCTTCGAGTACCTGTGAGAGACAGGGTTGAGGTATTTTGTACAGCTTCCATGTGCACCCGAGAGCAGTTGCATGTCTCTTGAACAAACCAGGCGCGCACGTCGGCGCAGCGTCTAGGTAGTGTAGGGTTCGGAGGTTTTCACAGTAAATATAGCCTCCGAGCGACACGAAAAGCATGTTTTGGGCAGAGTATCCGTGAGTCAAAACCCTTCTAACTCCCTGAACCCTAAATCCGACCCCCTAATACTCTAAACCCTAAACCGAAACCCCTTCGAACTCCTTTGAACCGACAGCAACAGGACCCCCTGGAGCTTCTCGAGTGGAAAGCGCCCCGAGAGGCACGCGAGACGGCGGCGAGGCCGGAGTTGGAAGACTACCCCCTTTCGAGAAAACATCGTTCTCAGCTCTACGAGGAGAGCCAGCGAGAGAGAGAGAGAGAGAGAGAGAGACAGAAATAAAGAAAGAAAGAGAGGGCAGAAAACACCCTAACCTGAAGTACAACAAACATTTCCAGAGGAAAAACGTCGGAGATTGGCAGGGCGTGGAAGCGGAGAAAGTATAGCCGGAGTCATGAAATCATCCCGAGGTCGTAGGAAAAAGGAAGAACGGCTCACACACAGTCTTGCCTGGAGGGCGAGTGTCAGCCGCGTGAGATGTCGTGAGATGTCGTCTTGTCGATCCATGAGGACTTTTGCTGGATCCTTGCCACCGCGTGTAGAGCTTTGGTACGACGGCGCCATCACACTGGCCCACGCCACCACGTCACTACACCTGAGTGCAGTTAGAACTTGGTTGGATCTTGTCGTATGTGCGATGTTGCGTCGCTTGTGTGTGTGTGTGTTGCCGCTCACGGGGGTTGGCAGCACTGAGTCTCACGCTCATCCTTGTCAAAAGTTTTCCGACCTTCCAAACTCTAAGTTATGGTCCTGTGCCTAGCGTGTTGTTTCCGCGAATCGAGTCATAGGCAAACAGCTGAAGTAAAGTGAGACTCGGCTGCTTCTTGCTTGTCGCCTTTTACTGGTGGACCTGCGAGTCTTCGAGAGCCAAAAAACCCTACACCTGCCAGAGGCCTCTCCGAGCCGTGCTGGCGGTGAAGAGATCTCGCGCTGCAGATGGGCCAGCGAGTGCCAGAGGACAGGGTCCCCAAGAGTTCCGATTGCAAAAGTGCGGAGTTTTGGTATTAGGGAATTTGGCGTCTAGGGCCTGGGTCTTACGGTTCCCATCAATGTCTCTTCATCTGTGCTTTGACTGCTGACATTGTGTGCTTCGGTTGTGCCCGTCGAAGATTGAGCAGTGGAGTGTGACATCTATTCTAGTCAGAGATAGGTGTGCTTAGCAAACGCACGGTAAAGCCTACGATCTCACTCTGCTTCGCAGGCACGGCAGATGGCCAGCCTGTCCAAGGAAAGGAGGCGGAATTTCAGGGAGGGCTTTTGGTTTAAGATGGTTTGAGATTGTTTCGGGCTTACGCACCGTCCGTTGGCTTGCAGAGCGGCGCTGCTTGTCATGGAGTGTTCAGACTGACTTCTCGGCAAATCCTGGGCCCACAGCCCAGGTCTCCGTCGAGAACAGCCATGCCGAAAGCATGTCGTTTGGCATCCCTTACATGCATGACCTAACCAAGCGCGATGCTGGCCATAGACAGTCATACGCGACGCGAATATCTGACTCTTGTCCACACCTAGCCAACGCCAGCCATGCTTCTGCCAGTGGCCTTGCTGCTGGTTCTCGCGGTGCTATGGCTGATGGCGCGCTGGCGTGCACGGAAGCAGAATCGGAGGGATGTCTTGCCAAGCCTTACTCAGAGGGACAACTCCTCACTGCCGATGTTTAGCCGCAGCCCTGCGTGCGATGGCGTAAGGAATGCCCCTGACGAAGCTTTATCAGCCAGCTGGGAGGATGGAAAGTATCAGGAGGCTACCATGAATCCCATCGACAAAGAGATTCTCGACAACAAGTTCGGTGCTCCCAGATCAGAGCTTTATGGCTTGACCTACTACCCCATCGCGGAGGATGTCACTGCACTGATCCAGGCAAGAACTTCGGCATTCCATCGTTCGCGTGATATGCCGCACAGAACCGTATTAATTTGTTCGGAACGGTCGTAATCACAGATATTATGACAGAAGTCTCGATTTGTCTCAGTCGACCAGGTTCAAGTGCTCAGACCCTGTGACTTCCCTTTTCAGGTGGCCGTCCGTGATGCATCTAGACATGCGGAGGTGGAGGAGAAGCTTGAACAGCTGCGTGCGCTTAGCACCGATCTCCCTGGGTCCGGATGGGTGCAGCCACAGGATTCCAGAGTGCCTCGACAGTGTTGGCCATCGCGCGCAACTGCGCGGATGACGTCTTGGAAGCAAGCCGAGCAAGGGCCTTCTTTGAACTGGGGGCTTGGTTAAGTTGGTTTCATGTCTTGAAGCCCTCCTCTAATAATATAGCACTGTTCCCGAGAGGTTCGATGAAACCTAGAAGTTTTTGTGCCACTATCACAAGTTAAAGGGCTGGACAGTAATGGGAGGCTTTAGGATCTAAAGCTGGATGATGCGGAGGGAAGGAGAGCAATGAGACACCGCATAAACCCGTGGTGAATCTCATGCGGCCAGAGACCTGACAACCACTTGATTATATATATATATATATACATATACATATATGTATATATATATGTATATGTATATAGATATAGATATATTTCTTTCTTTCTGGAAGGCTAGGGTCCGGCGGACGCGCCTCTAGCAACTGTACAAAATGGATTCAAATCACCACGGGGTTTTAAGGCCTACCCTGAACGGCCGAATCAGCGCCTGGCATTCTCAGTGGAAGCCAGAAAAGCGCCTTACAGACACTTGACCAGATGCCTTCTGGGCGGTAAAGGAGTTCCTACAAGACGGGTCCGAAGGCAAACCTTTACCGCAGGACCCTCATGTCAAGCCTCCGATCAGTGCAGTGACAACGTATACACGAACCGGGGCTCAACGACAGCACAAACACTACAAGGAAGAAGACGGTCAAGCTAGGGCAACCGCAATGGCACAGAAGTTCATATCTACACCATGCATGCAAAGCCCCTGGAGCACATACAAAACATCTCGTATGTAAGCTCTCAAACTCGTTGGTATTCCGGAATCGGCTATCCAAACACGGCTTCTCAACTGAGATGACCGGGGCATAGGACGTCAAGATGAAGTGGAGGCGTGTGTATGGGACCAGGTAGGTCTGGGACTCTGTGAGATCCACATTCAAGGCTCCATCGAAGCGCAGCGATGCCGACAAACTTGAGTTGAACTGAACGATGGGGCGGTTCAGTTTTGTGTCCTTTGGTCGCTCGATGTCCAGGTGCCTACGACAGAAACTGAACAAGGCCTCGTTGCAGTACATGATGGTCACATCCGTATGCTCACGGAATGAGTGGACGCACAAGACTGAATTGTAAGGCTGTATAAGGTGTGGGTAGTATCGTCAGTCGCACTTGGCTGTAGACGAACACCTGGCAGACAAACGAATTCAGAAATACTCATCGGGGGCCGCACAGTGGGCGATGAGCATGAAGCCCCG